TTATGCTAAACAAATACAAACGAAATGTCTCTTGATAAACGAGGAATGCACTACCAGTCTGCCTAGCCAAGTGCAAAATCATTGATTTAATACGTTTCGGCAACACCTGTAGACTTTTCAGAATGATATCTTTATTTTGGTGCGTTATGAACCTCTCGTTTAAGGAAAGTCAATTCCTAATAGGATGATTCAGGCTCATAAAGCACGGATCCACCCTTTAGCATCCTAAAACTACCAGAAAAATTATTTCCATACCTGGTATCCACTTCAGTCTGTAAGCCGAATTCCTCAGTTCCATTCAGGATAAGTGGCCTTTGTTTTATCCACACAAGTAGGATAAGCATGTGGATGCAAACATTACCATTGGCACGACCTGTAGGCGCCACAAATGTTAATAACTGCCGTTATTCAATGCTCAAGTACAATAAGAGGACAGTATGGTGGAGGCGAATATCACCCCCATTGTATACAGCAAGCCCATGGTTTTAAGGGGTTGGGAGGACAAAGAAGCACTTAAAGTAGACTGGCTAAAGAAGGGAAAATTATATGAAATTCACTTCATTTCTAGCAGATGTCATGTATGAAGCGGTGAGACTGCAAATTAGTGCCAGCACATACTGTGATTGACCACTCAACCATATGCAGTCAGTTCAATATATCCAATCGTGAGTTTAATTTAAATGAAATTGACTAAATTGAGAAGGTGATACACATTGCAAAGACGATCCTTTAGTCGAAACTTTCCTGCAACTGGGCGTGTCCCTGGTAGAGTGCAGATCGAATGCAGAGCAAATGCATAACACATTTGTAGTAGCACAAATTTGGAACAGGGAAAACGAATAGGGGTGTGGCTACTGACGGTTATTCCGCATGCCACGAATGTGTACTCTTCTTTCATAAGTCGGCATTAATAGGGAGCCATTTTACAAAGACCGTGTCACCGGTCCAAAGTGACCCCATTGTGTTAGAGCGGCACCCGATAATTAGACCTTACGTAATGCGTCCAGTGAAGGATTTGTTTTGCCAGAGAATCAAGTCCAACTAATGCTACCATGTGCACTGGAACCGTATAGTTCAACGATGCACGCTCGAGTTATGTTGGGTGGCTAACAAAATTTATCCACGTTATCTGGTTGTTTTAGTGCTTCAGTCCCACTAATATGGGGCTGCATAGATTAGATGAAGAGGACAACCGGTTTTTCAAACAAGCATTTCCATCCCATAATTCAGAATTTGTTCTCCTCCAAAATATAACGGTGCTTCTTTGCCTCTTTTCAACGGTGTAATTCTCGTTTGTGAGGTACATTAAAGCATACCTAGGCGTGGTATTGGAGCCACAAAGGCGGTTAGATCCTTGACGCAGTCATCACAAGTTTTTAAGCTACAAGATGGCACTTCAGTGTTGATGCCGTTTTTGACGATCTCCTTACATACAATGGCTAATGGTAGTGACATGCTAATGAATCCAAAGCTGCTTAGCTCAAAGCTGTGCTGTGCGATGCATCACATTACATTTCTGTAATCCTCAATGATAACAAGCTTGAGAGTTGGATGTAAAATTTCTTACGCAGATAACTGCCTAGGAAGGGCATAAGAAATGGGGAGAAAATAGTCCCTCAATGGATAAATTATGCATGCGGTCCGCTATTTGTTTGGGTAAATACCACTCAAGTGCTACGGTGGACGTCAAAGACAGATTGAAATTATTCCGATTGTGGCGCTAGTGAACAAACTATGACGCACGGACAAAGCACTCATCATTTTGCATAAAATCTTCAACATGGCAGCATTTTACAGCACGAAATGCAAACAGCACGCTAGTGGACACTGTTCTGATAAAAATTGCCCAAGCAAGGTTAGCTAAGCTCATCATGCATGTACTGATAGGCACATTTCGTAATGTCACATTCCAGTATCAAACTGAACTTGTCATGATATTATGGTACGTTTCCAGCTGCAAGTAGGCTCAAACAAGTCATCAAATTTTATATTTAATGTCATATAGCAAATATCATAAGTTGCGCTTGCCAAATATTCCCAGGCATCTGCAGCACCAAAAATCATACCACATGATTTCAGTGCAATTCCAGTTAACTGTAGAAAAGTAATTTAATCCACTTCCGATTAGGAGGCATAATGTGACATGAAGACAATAAGAAGAAGTCAGCTCAAAGCACTGTATAAGAATGGAAATTTGTTGCAAAACTTTGAAGTAGGAGCAACGTTGAGCATTCCGCCTACCCCCTACTTACTCTTGCTTTACAAGTAGTTCGTTGTAATGGCAAATTTGTAAATGGTGCCTATTGAAGTGTCTCAGGCTATATATTTGTGACCGCGTCTTCTCAGCCTGCATGTATTTTACATGGTTGTAAATGAATTTGGGTAAGTGATTTTATGGGGTAGATATGTGCTAGTAGGCACAGTGAAGAAGGATCCATTGCAGATCACTCCCCATACGGATTAAACACTTTACATTATGAGAGGAAGCCTAAATTCGGCATATCTCCTGCGCTACCTAAAATTACAAATAAATTCCACTTTGCTACACCAAATTAATTTGCTTTCAATGAGTGTGACAAGGCGTAAAAGAAATTTATACCACAACATTTGCGACCCCTTACTTGTCGTGCACAGTAGCCAGACATTCATGTTAGCAAGTTACTAAACCATAGCCATGCGCCAGTTTAATTTGGAGAAACTAAGCTAATGTGTAGGTGATGGAAGTCTTTTGCACGTGAATAAGGAGCGGCTTAATAATCTAATCTATTGAACTGATAAAGCTCGTCCGATTCAACCTCAATGGAGTACAACCCATTCCAATGTGAAGTATCGAGTCAGAAATGTGAAGAATGGAGTAAACGTAACAAAGTCCTGTATTTGTCATTAACGATTTATCCAACAGTAGAAGTCAAGTTACTGTTAAGGAAATAAAGAACGAATGGCGACTGATGGGTGACATGCACCAAGGAAGCCCGCGTTGAAGAAAAATTGGTCGGATAACCGCAAGCTATGGGCAGTGATATTGCACAGAGATGTAAATCTGTTAGACGTTTGCACCGACTTACTGGACGCTTGAGGCAATGACATTCACCACAGAAGTAACTGGAATCTCGGGCATTACAGAAGTTATGGCATACATGCAAGTGGTAACATGGCTTGGTTCCTTTTCTGAGTAAAGAATACTTGCTGTTAAACAATATTGCGTGGTGCGGACATATCGCTCAACTGTGAACCGTACAGTAGTAGTGAAGATTATCGACTGCCTCGCAGTAGCAAACTCAAACTATGCACGCCTAATATGACGCTGGACCTGCGAAATAGGCTTCTGCTATCATGGTCTTGGCCTCTCCTAATGCAATCCACTTCATTCGTCACACAATTGCTGCTCCAACTTCCGTCCCGTGGAAGAACACTTCTTATCAACAAATGGAATGCAGGGGAGTCTGCTCGCTTTAACTCCCAAAGTTGAGGTTTGTTTCCAGTTACCAGAGCCACAAGGATTGAATTGGTAATCGCGGAATAGTCCAAAAATGCAAAAATGGGGCGAAGTTGAATTTGTGCAAGAGAGTTGCCCGTGTCTTCATTTACACCAGCCTAATGTGCGGGGGTCGTGCTGTGCGTTGCATTCCAGTTATTGGCACGGTAGCAGGACGAATGGACAGTAAAATATCCACAAGGCAACTGGAAGACGTCAAACTTCCGAATGACTCAGTACATGTTGCATGGCTAGATGTATCTCGAAAACACGATATTTACCCAGTTGATCAAATGGTTTACCACGACTACCCACAGATCATGATGGACGGCAATTAAAGTATGCCCAGATATAACACATCATAAAAACCCCAAAAACCGCTTCAAGTAAACAATGCCTGGAAAGTGACGGACAAGCTGTGAGACGCATACGTTTATAAGTGGGTGAGTAGGAAGGGCAGCAAATGGTTTATTTGCATCTGCAGGAAAGCCTGCGAATGCCACCATTCAGGGGGCAACTCATCAGAAACGACAACCAGCCCCTCCGTCGCAGCAACAGGATCGAGATAGGCGAGCAAAAAAGCCCTCATTAATAACATTGTATGGATCAGCTGCCTAACTACCCAAAGAGTCAAGTGAACATTCCGAAACTTGACAAACAATCTGGTTGATGTCCTACATGCCTTCCTCATCTACGTCATTTGAAGTCTGTCTAGACTTGGAGATTAGCCAGAGCAATGTACCTGAAGTAGGTGAGGTCTCTAACAGTACAGTGGGGCTTGTATCCCCATTTCGAAATCAGGGCAGTCATCTAGTACTAACTTCACCATAAAAAGTCAACTGCACCCATTACAGTTTGCCCCGAAAATGACAAGCCTAACGTAAGTGGAGACCCGAATAAGTGGCACACACGGCAACATTACGCATAGCAAATCCACATTACAGTGGCGCCACAGAAGCATGTCCACCACCACAAGGGAAGCAGAGGCACCAAGACTGTATCTCCAGGATAAGAAATGCATGCAATGCTGTCCATTACTTCATCTGGGATGCTAATTATTATTTGAGATGCAACAACACTGTCGAGAATAAAAGCTGAGTACATCATCGTGGTACAATAATTTGAGATGGTGTCTGTCTGCTTCCAGGTCTGTTCATCATGGGTGACAGCGAAGTAATTCCTTTGCAAATGCATCAGCAAGAATAGAGAGGTCACAGAAGCTACAGACGTGATGAGTGAAATAAGCATTGGCAACAGGGGACAGCAGGCTTGAAGGACAATCAATCCCTTCTTCGCTTTCCTTACGTACGTCGTTGCGCACTTGGGATGGTTTTCTGTCTGAAAGACGGACTGACTTGTGCTAAGACATGAATCCGTATAATTTACTCTAACATTTCTCAGGCGAGCAAATGCACCATCGGTTATCCACTACCAAACGATCCACCCTCAGTGGGGAACAAAAACCCAACGATTTAAGGAGAAAATGCAAGGCATACTTTATTAATACTTGGGGAATACATTGGCCCTACAAGGCATCACCCTTTTTGTCAATCCCGTTCGGATAGCGCCTGCGATAACGCTCCACAGCTTCAGCATCAACGAGATACGTGCCGTCCAACTGATTCCCTACGGTCACCCTAAAATACGACGCAAATGCAGATTGAAACACATCAAACAACACAGCGAGGGTTAACCGCAGCACCTACAAGAAGGATACCGTCTGGTTTACCAAACAAAATCCATCCCATGACGGGAGCAATTTTGGCCAGTCAGACCAAAATAAACAACTTCAATTTATAATACTGGGCCAAAAATGAAAAGACGCTAGTCTGAGCTGCTGCATTCACTGACAGAAAATCAACTCCGCGGTGGGGAAGGATTCCTCCCATTACCGAGTCGACAGTCACATCAGAAGGTGCACAATGGCAACCCTCCCTGAATCCCTCGCTAACAGATTAGCATTCGCTCTCACTACTATTACCGAGTTCAGCAACCTTTTCTGCCCTTCTTCTCAAGATATTGACCTTCAGTCACTACCCTTCCAGTTCTTGTATCAGTAGACAATGAAGCTACTTCCAGTACCACAAAGAACAGTGTCTACGCGAGCAGCTGAGGAACTGCAATTCCACAAAGATGAACAACTGCTGCGCCAACAGCAAGACATTTGCGAGGCACGACAAGATGGCACTTATGCCATCTCATCGAAAAAACGAGAGGCTCAACAACAACAATTTGACAGACATCGTCGTTAAATTTAGTTGAAATCACATCACACACCAGCATTACTCATCAAAATGTCGCCTCTTAAAGCATTCCAATCACGACCCATTGCTCTGCTAACAAACAATACCAGAGGACGTAAACAGAACGCCAATAAAAAAGGAAACCCATGTAAACCAACAAAGAAATGCGCATTTGCAAGAGGAAATTCAACTCAAGACCACTAAGGAAAAGCAGATCAACATCCACTCAAGAAGACTTCCGCAACTATCAAGCAGCGGTCGGTGAGGGTAGAGAAACATCTAACCAATGCAAAGAGGCCTTTCAATGCATTTAACGCAAGCCAAAACAAGTTGCCGCCTTACCAGTTGGCCTGCAGTTTGTGCGGTCGTCCAAATAGCTCAAGTTTGCGAGTACCCGATGAGAGGCGCTCAATGAGGCCGTGGATCTTATCGGGTTTGCGACTGGTTTCGCGCACCTCCAACACAATCACATCGCTGTCCAGCCCACGATTCATGCAGCGCGGTGAGCCCTTCTCGCCCACCACACAGTGCTCCTTTCCGTGGTTCACCCAGTGCCCAGTACGGCCTGTGCACCTAAGGCACTGCAGCTGGTTAGTCTTCACCCACATCACCTTGTCCACGCGCTCGTAGCCCCAGAGTCTGAGGCACTCCCGGCCCAGTTCCCTGGCGCTGCAATCAGTAGGTGCATGGGCAAGAGTAGAAAATCACGTCGCGATTAGCCCAGTCATAGCAATCACGAACACCATTGTTAGCGCTACTTTCGCTAGAACACTTTACTACTGCAGCAAACATACCCTGCACATTCTGATGAAACCCGATTACAACAAGGTCATCTAACCAGTTAAAACTGATTTGAAAGAACTTGTTTTTGGGTAAAACATTTTTTGCCTATGGATGGTCAAACGTCGCTCCAGATTACTAGAACCAGGCATAATCAGGGAACAAGCCACGATTTGGCGTCACGATATGACCAGAAAATGGATGTGAAGGGATAAATACCGATGCCCACCACCATAAGGCCTTTTCACGCAGCCAATAAGCCGCATTACAAGCAAATATATTCAACAGGAACTGATCAGCAATCTGTTACCAGGTAGTTAAGCCTGAGGAAACACGACCATCCCTCTACAAGATCATACTGCATGACTAACTCATCAACAGCCTACTTTCATGCAAAACGCAGTTGTTTGAAGTGGATACAACTAGGCAAATTATGTTCGCTAAATATCTAATTTAGGTACTGAATATCCCTCCAGTGCAATGAGACCTCCAGAGTAGGACACCGAATAGATATCAAGATAACAATATAACAGGATTGCCAATAATGTTGCCAAAGTATAGGCAGGAAAGTTAGCTTAATACCACTACGCAAACATTTAAACATTTCACCAGGACCCATCCGACTTCAATCATTATTCAAATGCACTCAGGTTTAGCTCAATCAACCAACTTCCTACAATACGTACCGCCCAGTGACGCAGAGAAACATATACCCGTCGTCTTGGAGACAGGGAATGTCCATTCTCCGCATCTCATCATCCGATATTGTGCTATATGGCAGTTCCATATGAATGCCCCACGGTGGATCGGCCATTATCACGGCGAATTTGCCAAGAATGGTCATGTCGAACGGCCTGATATCGCACTTTACTCACTACAGGGGGAAGCATGCATCAAAGTCAATGAAACACAACAACAATTAGGGTCATGCTGGAACTACGTGCTACCCGAATAACACAGATCACACTAAATATGCAGCAGTGCTACCTGTGGAGGGTACAAGGGAACGCGCGCGGTTGCAGGTGCCGTCTTTTCCACAGCCAAATCGCCTTTTCCTTTGTCCAAACTATCCGGCCGAAGTTGACCTCGGTTATAAGCGCCTGCAGCTTCTCTGGCCTCTGCTGTTGTTGGATCGGCTGCATCAATTTCGTAGTGCACAAACTGCAAGGAAGGGCAAAAATAGGCGATTACTCTGCAAAGATGGCATCAAAGGTAATATGCATATTGTGCAGACTCGTCTCCACTACATTCGCTCAAGGCAGCAGTCTAAAGCTCAGCTACTGCAATAACAAGAACTACCACGTACTTTGCAAGTATCAACGTGAAAGCATGTGTTGAGGAACGAGCAATCACCCAGACATTCTGCGAAACAAAACAGACATTAAACAATTCATCACTCAATCAACCCTACCATCAGTATGGGCTTGAATAATCTTCTTAAAGTGCAGTTTTGTGCATTCCTTGTCTTCAGTACCCTGCTGGCACTCGACACGTGTACCATGCACACAAAAGAGCTGGACTTGGCTGCCGTCACAAGATCGAAACTTCTTATCAAGAATCTTTTCCTTAAGGCAAGAAGAAATAAAAAGCTGTGACCAGACAAGCCATCATGGTGGTGCGTCGAGAGAAGTGTACCAATCTCCTCGTTAACACGTTTAACCTCGCGTTCCTTCGCGGTAAGAGCTGACAGGAGGATTTCAAGATCGGTTGGATCAGTATCAGGACCCACTTCGAGTGCTTTCGAGGGAGGCTCATCCGAGCTGACACAACTTTCTTCTTCAATCGGTACATCCCCAACATCAGGGACGCATTTTTGTCCACACATCAAGTGCTACAAAAAATAAGGGAAATCTTACAATGAATCGGAAGATTTAAACGAATCCAGATGTGCAGCAGATGTTTGTTCATGCCCTAATTACAAAGCAAATATGGACAATAAATGACAAAGTATGCAGGAATAGTTAACACAGAACCGGTAGCAAAAAAAGAACTAACCTACTTCAGCCCCTTTGACTGAGGATGATGCATCGATTACACTTTCGGACGCCAATTGGGTGGTTGAAGACACCAAGGTCTTAGACGGCTTTCCAGATGTTGACAATGCTGCAACAACAGAAATGTCAGGGTTCTTTAGTGGAAGCGCATTTTGTGTGGCTGCAGCGATCAAATCATTCCGCTTCCGCCTTCGTGCTGCTAATCTCTCGCGAATCGACTTGGTTCGGGCTCGAGCCGCAGCGATCTCACTCTCAGTTGAGCCCTTCCGACTCGACATTACTTCCGCAGAGAGGATGTAGGAAAACAGCTGGAGACCATGAGGCATCACAAAACTGATTACGAGAGACAATCGACGCGAAAAGGCTGCTTTCGCAGCATCGTACAAATAAGCTGAGCACTTGACTGACCTTGACGTTAGTAGTTAGCTAAATAGAGAGTCAAGATTTCTAATATTTTTTTGAGCAGAAAATGGCAAAAGAGATATTTCTCATACCTCGACGAGCTTGAAAACTAACCATTCTTGGTTGAAAGATGTCTTCCTGCACTTACGACTTCCATCAAAAATTTTAAGCCAAACGGCAAAGAAGATAAATAATAACTTGTGACATTACTTTGCACTAGCATGCAAAACAAATATGACGTATTTTTGCAAAAGCATTTTAAGTGGTTAGACACAACTCAATCCAAAGGTATTAGTAGTAAATGTAAATTTTAGGAATTTTCTGCGTAGCCAATACCTTGGAAATAATAAGCAATGCTTAAACAGCTGTTTCTTTTGACATACCTCTTACCGGTTAGGGATTTGTTTCAATACACCACGAACTACTTATGCACAAATCGCCAAACATTTGGAAGTGGGTTGTGGTGCGGGCTTCTCCGTCATAAAACCGTGGCAAGTATGGTGCTCCTTTTCGTCCCCTTTGAGGCCTTTTTAGTCACTGCATATGTAGCCCGTACGTCTTGCTGCTTTGCTTTACAACACACGGGCTTGATAGGACGTTTCTCAATTGTGAATATGATCGAAAATTTAATTATTTTTTAGCATTGTGAGAATATTAGACGCTTCCCTGACACTTGCTGATATTAACGTATTGTTGCAGCTGTAGTAATAGGCCTTCGCATGTGTGCTTTATTGAGTAGTTTTGACTCTGCCTTATTTATTCAAATGATCAGTCCGATCCTAAATTAAAATCGGGAATAAACAAACCATTTTCTGTGTTGACGCCTGTAGTTCAAAATTTTCATGTGGTTTTTTTCATGTGTAAGTTCGGTCTATCTCATGATGCTTGAAGCTTTGCTCACCTCGAAACTTGGATAAAGCTATTTTCTTAATCCATGTGTTTGGTGTTGGCTTATGGTTTGGAATCGCTTTTTGAAAATACTTTGTCGCATGACATTGTCAGCCATTTCACCCTTGGTTCTATCGTCTGCTCTTTAAACGCTTCCTATGATGAAGACCATGAGTGAAATTTTTTCCAGAACAACTTGCAGTCACTTCCTCTACAACCGATGTAAGAAGTCTTTCTAGGTTAATTTGATTTCGGATTTCCGTTTCCTTAACCACTCCATTTGCACATTTTGCTTGGTGAATTCACAATTTTGCTTGGAATCATGAAATGTCACACTATGCTTTTCATCCATTTGCTCACGACTGGAATCAGAATGACCATGTGCTGGAAAGGACTTTATACGATAAGTGCTTAATTTTATGGAAAAGGTGGTCTCTCAGTGTGTGATGAAGTTTTCTTATGTTTGGAGTCTCCGTACTTTCCAACCCCATTAGAGGGTCCTCAAGACGGTCATGGTCCAAATTTAAGGAAAAAGTTGTTCATTTGCTAACCAGAAAGTACCATTTTGTATGGAGGTAGCTGAGTTGAATACCTATAAGGAAACCATGTAATGTTGCAGTAGCGATTTTTTGTCTTTAACTATTGTGAAATTAGGATGGGATATTTTAACTACTTTGAAGGTACACTTTGCTAAGGACAATTATAAAAGGACTTGGATTAAGCAGACATTTGCCACTTTGTCCTTCTAAACAACTGACCGATTTGGCCCCGTTCTTTAGCCAGAGTGCGTTGGGTGCGCCGCTCGCACTCGTGGGGACGTCAAGTCCCACACTTTTGCCTTCTCAGGTGCGCATAGTTTAAGCCGAAGCTAACCTCCCTGTTTGCATTTTTCATCTTCAAGACCTGAATGTAGTATGTGGTGCTCCCATGTACGGTAAATATGGAGCAAGATTTCAGAATGTTCTCTCGACGCTTGTCAAAGAGGAGGATCCTTTGACCATTACCACAGCAGAAGTGGCGAAGAATTTGACGGGTGAATCGCTGCATGTCATGGATATGCCAGGAAGAAGCCACTCTGGTGAGTAATTAAAATTGAGCAAGAATGTCCTTTTTTGGAAAGGCTGAGTTGACTTTATTGCCTTGTCAGATTGAGGGGTTACATAGTTCAGATGCATCAGCCAACGTGCGCCGCATGTGGGAGTTAGTCGTAAAGGAAGTTGAAGATGTCTGGTTAGCGTTGGTGCTCAGTTTGGGAGTGGATAGCACTGACAATTGACATGAACAATTTGCACGTGCATAAGTTGACGACGAATGTGCTACTGATAAGGTTGTGGCCTCTGCCTAGTAGTTCGGTATACTTCTCATGTTGTTTGGATAACTGGTCCTTACGACTCCACTATTACAATTCTTAGAGGCTGTGGAAAAAGCAATTGTTTTAAGCTGGTTTGTCTGCTAATGGTGTATTTCTTGCCGTATCACTCTCTGCGACCTTGTAACCTTCGTCTAAACGACTGATAGCCGCCTAGAGTTAAAGCTTTCATTCATCTTTTCTTTTCGAATATGGCAACTAATGATTAAAATGTCTGCAGAAGTTGCGGGATTTATGTCTAAAATGGCCTAGTTAAACGCAGAAACGAATGTGAGTAAGAGAGTGGGGTGTTAAAAGACATAATTTCTTAAAATTTAAGAGTTGTCGTGCTTTTCTCTCCACTTAGTAGTCCCTAATTATTCTGTAGCTCCAAGTGTCTGGCTTGATATAGAGGTGGGTAGATAGAAGAACAAACAGACGCAGACGTCGGCAGATGGAGAGACGAAAGCAGTGAGTGCCCACATCGATCATGACCGTTGACCCCTGTAGCACTGTCCAAGAAGAGAATGTGAAGCAGTGGTTGGCTGCCGAAGCATGAGAATGTAGGGTTTAAGTATGTGACTTCTTTATTAATTGCTTGGTGTATATGTGTATATGTGCAGAAGTGAGAACCACCCATGAAGCCCTTTTGCTGTTACCACTTTGCGTGTCTTTTGAGATGGCTGTGGGCACGTGGCTATCTGCTGCCTTCATCCTTATTGTCTACCCTATCCTGGTTTCAGCTCAGTTCTGTGTCCCTTGGCGTTTCTGACGAACTCACTTGTCAGTAATGCCAATATGTCGCGTTAGGACAAATGATTTGGGTGCTTTTCTCTTCCACCTTGATTTGGTGCAGATGGCAAAGCGTTTGAAATCAGTACCGTTGGCAAAGAACTGTACTTCGTGAATATAGTGAATGTCAGCGGGGAGCAAACGTTAGCAAGACGATTGTTTACTTTTTGTTCCAGAATGCCAAAAGTTTTCCCGATTGCAATGCAAGAAGAAAATGCGGAAATGAATGGGACATTTCATTTTTAATGATCTAGTAGAAACTTCAACAGTGGGAAGTGTTAGAAGACCAAGATTTTACTGTCATATGCAGGATAAACTTTGGAACTAAATGACCTTTATTTCTTCCAATCGCATTCAGTTCCCGACCAACCGCTCATGGTGGCCATCTCGGCAACCGCTTTGGTGATGCAGTGGAGTGTCTCAATCGCATCCAACGCTCAATTCTTAGTCGAACTGTACAGTGATGCGGACCTCATAGAGTCGCATTTATTGTCTCCCAGTATGCGCCAGTACACCTTTCAGGATTTGCGACCCTTCACCATGTATTCCGCTGATCTGACCGTCTGCACTGACGCAAAGTGTGGTGCACCCTCCGCCATGGCTTTTGCAGCCACTTGGCCTGGCAGTTAGTGCGCGATTGCTTGTCTGCTTGCACTAGTCAGTGGCAATTATTTTGGTTGGAGGCATAGCAGTGTGCAAATAAATTGCGTACAATTTTTCCAATGTTGTTTCCATGACATTTAGTTAGAAGACATTGTGCTCATGTTTAGCGTCAGTGTTGGTTCCCCCTGGATGTGATTTGCTATTTAAAACTCATCAGTAGTGCTTTCCAACCAAATTATCTTTAATTATGTGTTTTCAATCCTCTTGATCGTCCACATTACTTTATAGCATATGCTACGTTAGAACTGCTCTTTAGTGCCCTATTTTATCAGCTGCAAAGCTATTTTAATGATCCTTTTTGCACTTAATAATAATAATAAGTGCAGTAGATTTTGCGACAGATTAGCTGAGTTTTGAATATTAAGGTTGAAATTAAGCTGCTTCTCTCAAGTCAAATGAGTAAAACTGAAGTGAAGAAGACTCCATTCCTGTGAAATAGTTTGTCATTGCGTTTCCTGAACAGCACCGAGTGCTCCACTTAGGGTTGAAGCCCGACCTCGGACCTACAACTCTCTGGAAGTCACATGGAACCCTCCCGCTTCACCCAATGGCCAGATCGAAGGTTATGTGGCTGTCACAGCGCAGCCCTATCGCGAGTGCTATAGCGATAATCTGCAATACCGTCGGTGCTACATCAACGATTTGCCTGCCAACATAACTGTGGAAGTGTATGTTGTTGCTTGCAACCTCCCCAATGCACAAGGGCAAGGTGGCGGCTGTGGCTCTCCCTCGAACATGACCGTTGCGAAGATGTGGAACGGGGGTCCCTACGATTCACTTAGCTTTCAAATGAATGTCTCTATTAATGGAGTTAAGTAGACGACTTTTGGTCTTGTTTCAGGACTGGACGAAGAACTGATGGTGGTGCTGGCTGCAAATAGTTTCACGGGTGTGGGGACTGAGGCTGAATCCACCAAATCCATTTCGCTGTATTTGCCACTTTCGCTTATCTCAGTGTCGGGAACGGGACCATTGAACAATATCAGCCTTGTGGTGCAATTGGCTCACTATTATGAAGGTCCTGAGAGCCCTTTACTCCTTCTGTACGATAGTTACCCCTACGATGATGGAGTCTTTCACAAGCACCCGATCTTGGGAGTAAGTGAAATGCACACTTTCACACCAAACAGTGTAGGTGACGTTTTGTTCGCCCTACATTGCAGGTGGCTTAACAATGCATTTTCTGTTGGTTTAAAGTCTTAGGAATGCCACTTAGCAGGATTCCTTATAAACTCATACGTGGATTTTGGTTTATTGTATGCAGAATACAAATAAGTTAAGCAATATTTTTTTATGCCTCAGTCCCTTAGAAAAACGACTTCTTATTGTTGTTTAGTACAATGATGTTTTACAGGAGATTTAGGAAAATTATTGCAGCTTTACCGTGTGCCGTAAAGAGGACCATGAAAACGGCATTTTTCTGTTCCGGGATAATACTTTTCATCTGCAACAGACTTACAGAAGCCACGAAGTGCACGAGGGTTGGGAGGTGTTAGTCACTGGGAATGAGGACAACATGCACATGGAATCCCTTTGCGACTCGCTGTTCTTGCTGGGTGATGGAACAGGATTTCCTCGGAGCAGTCACTACTTTAATGGTCCTCTACAATCCAACACCGAATACGCGTAAGTCTTCTCCATTTACTTGGTTTGAGTATATATTGTTGTGTTTTTAAAGAGCAATGGTTTTTTTGCTTGGAGGGTCAGACTGAGACTGTACTCGCCACTTGGCTATGCTACAACGCGGCCAGTTGTTATTCAAACTGCAGGTAGGGAGATATCTCTACAAATTCTTATTATTCTTTAAATGGAGAGGTGGTAGCAAGAGGCATTTCCGTTGGTTGATCATTTGCGGCGTCATTGTCTTAGAGGAGATGCGTCTTCATTTCAAATGGGCAACAGACATATTTTGGCATATTTGAAAGTGTGTGGGAATGTTTGCGCTTTCTCCCTTTTACATTTAGATGTGCCAGTTTATACTTCGATGATGGTAGGAATTCCCATTGGGGTTGTGGTGTTGTTTACTGTGGTCTTCACACTCTATAAGCGCCTTCAGATGAAGTGGATCCAGTCGCAAATTCCAATGGAATCAGGAGAATATCGGTAGGTTTTACTTTGGTGTTTTGTATGCGAAAGAGCCGGAGACGCGATTTAGGAAGACGAGTAAGTACTATCCTCCAACTTCAATCAATTTGCTTTTCAAATGGCTTTGGTTGTTTATTCTCTGTGTGTAGTACTAGAAAGGTATGTATTCCTTGATCGGTATAGTTAGGAGCGAAGTTGTTTTACTCATCATTCTTTCGAAAGACTTTGCTGTGTTCGAACTGCCCCTTTTGTGGGGAGGTGTGGTAAATGTAATGCCTTTTTGTCATTTTAGAGAACTATATAAGCGCAGTCCTCCGAGGTAAGCTATGCAACTTTATTTAAACACCCGACCACGAACGGATTCAAGTCAATTTTGGGGAAGTGGTATGCTCCGTAGAAAGCGTACCTTGGTTTCCAATATTTTCAACCGTGACGAGAAGGCAGATAAGACTAGTGCATCATCCCTAGCCTTCTTTGTAGTCCTAATAAAACATGCCAAGACAGAGGTCTGGTTTACTAGAAGCATGCACAAGAGCAACGGAACTCTATTCCGCTAGATAAATTAATTTGCCTAACATTCAAGATGACTTCTTTTTGTTTCTAGATATGTGAAATTTAGTATCTCATACATTTACCCAAAGGAGTTGCAACAAACTAGAATGTAAGTTATTGCTGGGAAACGATGGACTGAAATTGTACCTAGCACCAGGGAAAAGTGGTCAGTTATTAAACTTTTAGCATTTCACCACTGGATTTGGAGGATTTCAATGCCTACGTATTCTGCCTTCTCAGTGGACCAGACCACAATTTGAACATTCAGTATCGGGTAAGACTACTGGTTGAACGGATAACCAACTGCAATTGAGTAGGAAATTGATGACTGGGGCTTTCGAATGTTTGACATTTGTTGATTGGATATCGTGAGGCAACTTGACAGAAATGGGCGAATGCCGTAAAAAGGCGAACAGGATGTTAGTATTCCAATCAAGCTCACGTGAACAGTAAAATAGCCACATGTATTTGTGTAGGCTGCAACGTACCTCCGAGACGCAAGCTAGCTGTGCATTCCACAGTTCTGCCTTAGCCACATTTATTTCTATCTCAGCAGTTTTGCTTCCATACTGTCACGTGGTTGTCCAACTGCAAAAAACGGTGCTGATCATTACCTGGAGGAAAATACTAAGGGAATGCAGAAGACGAGGCAATATTTCCTTTCATAAGGGTGTGAATCACTGAGAAGTTTTGCGGTAAGAGACGTGAGGACATTCACTGTTGTATGAAATAGGCGAGAAGGCACAGTTCTTTGGGGATGAAGTGATGAATGTTGAAAAGTGTGGGATATGTAGTGAATGGATCGTTTGGGTGAGGTGAATCGGTGATATGTTGGTTTGCTTAGCCAAAGTGGGGAGTTGGTGGCCATCTCCCCTCGCCAATCGGCACGTCACGTTTTCATAGGGTGTGTAAGAGTAGTGAGGAAGGAAATTACATTTGTCACTGCAAGTGAAACCCGTTGGCTTATCGTTTTGATCCATTCAACTCCTCCTTGAAGGCAGAAGAGTAATTGACTTTGAATTAGCACCACTCTACACTCCTTCTGTTGTCTGAAAGGTAAGTGGTCCCTCTGCTGTGCGATTTGGTGTTGCAACCACTTGTACTATAAACTGTCACATACTGGTGATGTGCAGCATTAGTTAGGAGGATTGAGTCGTTGCGAACGCAGTTGTGCCTGACTTAACAGAAACTTACTTAAAACGAACATTTCGCAATGAGCTGTCTTTCGATGCCATTGTAGGTAGCAGAGAAAGGAACGCT